GCGCCCGGATGTTATTCCCAGGGGATCGGTCCGCAGTAACAGGGCACTGGACCAATTCGGTCGGTCAGGTTGGCAGTAGATTCATAAACATGTTGATAGCTTAGAAAGCCCAACCGGCAGCCAATATCTGTGTGCTTTTTTCCCTCCAAGCCACCTTAAAATCAAGCGGTCATCCAGGGCGTGGTTCCTTTACAGGGGCCCTCTTGCGTGTCCAACGAGTACCGGGAGTTTCTTGGGTGACTTGGAAGGGGACGGGGTTACACCCACCTGCAGTGATCTCTCAGGCTTCCGTTAGTAATCGAAAGAAAAAGAGGACTCCAAAGGTGGAGGGCGATACCGTGGCAGCGATGCTCTGGGCGAGGGCTGCGGTTGAAAAAAAAAGAGTGGGAGACAGTGAGGGAGGCAAGGCAGGGACAGAGGTCTGTCTTTTATGCCACAAGTCAAGTGGGGGCACGGTGCCTCTGGGTCAGCGGGAACTTGATCTAGACGAGGCTTTGTAAACGGCAGCAGCGGTCGCTTTGGGGCCAGGTGCATCCGACTGGAATTTTCTACGAAGTGAATGTGAATGCGACTTGGTGGATGTCCAAGCGTTGCGCGCAAGCTTGTAGGAAAACGCGCGACTCCGACAACGGATACACGAGAGCGAGAACACCGTTTTCCGAAACGTTCGGGGAGCAGGCTAAGAAACGAGATTCCTGTGGAGTGACTTGCGATCATTGCTGAGGTTTCGTACTCCTAATCTTCGGGGTTCTGCTGGGCGAGAGCTGTGAGTGTTTGCACAAACATCATCAGAACTGTCGTCCCTGAGCTCAGCCGCTTCTATCTATTACTGAATGTGAAAGTTTCACGGGATTGAGCCGACTGTATGATTTGAGCTGCAGTATGATTCAGTTCTTAGGTCAGGTCTGCTCCCACGCAACAGGCACCACACAAACATCGGATATGGCTTCACCAATTTGCACGACGCCTGGTCTCTCGACCATACCAACTGAACTACTCGACGGCATTGCGAGCTACCTTGACTGTTCAGCGCTGCTTGCACTTTCCCTGTCCTGCAAGAGCGGAAACGTTTCGGCGAACATTGTACTCTACAGAACTTACGTCAATCTGGAGCCGCCCGCCAAAGCACCAATGTACCTGTTTCTACGAACTATCTGCGAGCGACCTGATTTTGCGGAAAAAGTAAGGGAAGTCAATGTCCGTGGCTGGAGATTTGAGTATGAAGTTGCAATCGGTGCAGCCTGGAAGGGCATGACGATCCAAAGTGAGCACAGTGCGACTCAGCAGGAGCGAAAGGGACCCTTATATGCCAACAAAGACAAAGCCGGTCGCACGACACACGTACAGAGGACTAAGATCTTCCTCGATGCGGCTGTCATGAGCGGGTTGATCACCAGGCCGAAAGAGGAGACTATCCCGGCGTTGAAGAAAAGCGCAGTGTGGTACACTTCTCTGAAAGAGGACGCTGATTTAATTCGTCTTATCGGCCGCGGCGTGGAGGATGCACATGCCCTACTGATGATTGGACTGCTACCTAGGCTCCAAGTCCTCCAGGTAGATGGACTCAGCCCATACCCTTTACTTGATTGGCATCATTTCTTGTCACGCTCAACCACCGCTCTTCGTGCCCTACGCAGCCTTAGCATATACGGGTCCACCACAAAGATCTCGGAGCCAAGTGCATCCTCCACGCTACAGTTCCTGGACATGACGCCCAGTTTGGAGTGCTTGGAATTAGGGGACATTGCCATAAAGGGACACCACCTTAGCATTGCACATCTCCCATCCAAGACCCTCTCGAGAATCTGCTGCATGAACGCCGCCATGGAACTACGGCTGCTTGCTAAGAGATTGAGCGGACAGCGAATCGTGCGTCTTCTGCTCGTTCCTGGTCCTCGACAGACGAATATTGTCTCTCGATCTACTTTCTCACTCTCGGACATCATGCAGCTAATCAGTGCCTCAAAGTCAACCTTGACCCACCTTGTGCTTTACCCCATACGCCCCTCGACTGAAGCGACAAAATTGAGAGAGTTTGACCGTGTCCAGAACCTAGAGTCGGTCCTACCAGGATTATTGGATATGGTTCCTGGCATGTTGGACCCAGAGACGATTGCGAACGGGCTGCGTAAGCAGATACCCAAGTTGACAGAGTTGTCGTTGCATTACCTGTCATACCAGCTACAAACCAAGATCGTATTGGAGCAGTTGACGCAAATCAAAGTCGACGGCCTACTTCCGGCCTTGGAATTGGTCCGACTCCACTTTGATCGTTCGGAGCCATCGTTCGCAAATGTCTTTTCGGGGCTCGGTTTTGGAGTGGACTTCCGACTGCCTGATATAGAACAACCGGTCCGTGAGGATGTTGGAGAATTGTTCTCCAAGGCAGGAATCAAGTTGGAGATGTGTGTAGAAGGCTGAGCGCGCCAAAGGAGTCTCTCTGGCCAGCGATGAGTCAAAGGTGCAATCTTCGGGCTTCACGGTGAAGAGGGAACGGGAATGAGTTTGATCTGTACGAGAGTTGGTACACGAATGATATATATATATATATATATATATATATGTATATTCACATATCGCTGAGCTTGTTTGTAGCAGGCTTGTGTATCCTGACAGCAGCAGTGGGAGTCTATGCCAAGACATGTAGTCAAAGTCGCGACCCCACTTTTCCATCCTAGCCCACTCGCCTTGCCTTGCCTTGGCTTGTGTTGGACCAAACACGACAAAATGGGGGGAAAATACTCTACTCTACTGTGCAGTACAAGTTCCAAGTGTGCCATTCCATTCCAGAGGGGCGGCAAGGTCCCAAAGATGTGACTAAGCAAGCAAGTTGGCCGCCGCCTTGTCGCCATGATGACGCGCACAAATTGGATCCAACGGCCGTTTGCGCGTCATGCTCTCTTACCCACAGTTACTGCCCACCAAACCCCGCAACATCAGCTTGCATTGCGATACACGCGATACTGGCTACCAATATCACCAAGGCGAATTCATCCAGATTCCAAACATATGACATAGCCTTACAACAGGATCGCCGTCCCCGCGCCCCAGACTGGCTCTCAATGGCAGACTTCGCACCTCCACCCGTTGGTGCCCCATTACTCTCGGAACATGTCTCGGAACGGCTGCTAACCACGAGCAGGGCCCTCCGCCACCCAAAGTGCCCGAGGGCTGGAAGGCGATATGGAACACGCAGTACAGCGAATGGTTCTTCGTCAACATCTACACCAAGCAATCGCAATGGGAGAAGCCAACTGAGCCAGTCTACCCGCCCGGCGAAGGCCCGTCCCACGCTGCACCGCCCAGCGACAAGGCCGGGTTTGGCGGCAGCAGTCCATATGCGAACATGACCGAGGATGAGAAGCTGGCGCGCAAGTTGCAGGAAGAAGAGGATTCGAGGGCGGGGAGACAATCGGGAGATGGGATGGGTCAAGCGAATGATTACTATCATCGGCCAGCGCAGGCCGGAGCCTATGGACAGCAGGGTCCGGTGCCATATGCGCAGGGTGGACAGTCATCGTACTATCAGGAGACGCCTCCGCCGCAGGATAGAGTTGGAAAGGGTAAAGGGCTGCTAGGCAAGCTTTTGGGGAAGGCGACGGGAGGTTCGAGTTCGTCGACGCCACATGGCTACCCGCAGCAGCAGCACGGCTATCCTCAGCAAGGCTATGGTCAGCCATACGGAGCCGGCTATCAACAAAGGCCGATGGGTCTACCCATGGGCGGTGGCATGATGGGAGGAGGGCGCCGCCCTGGTGGTGGTATGGGCGCAGGGGGTGCCATGGCCCTCGGCGCTGGAGGTGGTCTTTTGGGTGGTGCACTCCTTGGCTCAGCCATGGCTGACGCGGGCGATGGTGGCGGCACATACAACTACTACGGTGATGATGGCGGCGACTATGGTGGAGGTGATATGGGCGGAGGTGACATGGGCGGAGGTGACATGGGTGGGGGAGACTTTGGCGGCTGAGGAGACTGAGTCTCTTTTGGAATTTCATGCGACATGAATCGCGCGGATCTTCATTGTTTCCTTGTACAGATATTCAGTGGCGATGCACCTTTAATCACAGGATAAACCGGCTCCAAATGTTATGGCTGCAATGACTTTGAAACTGGACATGATTGTTGTTCACAACCCACGTATGACGTCGGACCAACTCGTCCCGAAGAAAGATCTCCAACACCATATCCGCCACACCTCAATACCATCCCATGACTTGAACAATCAACTTTGATGCTAAAAGCGACCTCACACTTACCTAAGATCATGGCCACTGAACAAAAAGGCCGCAACATCGTCATCATCGGTACTCTCCGAATGCTTCCACTCCCTAGGTATCCCCTCCAAAAATGAGCTGACCAAAAAACCCCCCAGGTGGCGGTATCATCGGCTGCACAACAGCCTACTTCCTATCTCACCACCCAAGATTCAACCCCCAATCCGACACCATTACTCTCCTCGAGGCCACCAAGATTGCAGGCGGCGCCTCGGGAAAAGCAGGGGGCTTGTTGGGTCTCTGGGCGTACCCAAGTTGCATTGTTCCACTGAGTTATCGACTGCACCAAGAACTTGCTGAACGACACAACGGTGCGGAACGCTGGGGCTACCGCGCTATTCATTGTGGGCAGATCGATGCTGTTGCCATGTTGGCTGAGAAATCGGGGGATGGGGGTAGCAGTAATAGTAAGGGTAGAAAAGGTAGTAAAGAGAGTGGTGATTCTGTGAGCCTCCAGAAGCGGACACAGAGTGCCATTGGCTTGTTGCGAGCCGCAGGCGTCCCCAAGGATCTAGACTGGATCGCGGCGGAATCGCTCAAGAGCTACGAGGAAATGGGTACACCGCTTACGACCGCACAAGTCCACCCCTATCACTTCACAACCAGCATGGCGGACCTGGCGCAGGAAAAAGGTGTCAAGATTGTTTACGGCTCCGCTACAAACATTGAGCAGGAAAACGGCAGTGTTCGCTCAGTAAGCTACCGTCCTAAAGATGAAAGTACCACCAGCACTGGCAACAGCAATAAAACCCACTCCCTCCCAGCAGACACCGTCATCCTCACCGCCGGCCCCTGGACACGCACCCTCCACCCCAGCGCCCCCATCTCCGCCCTACGAGCCCACTCCATCACCATCCGGCCCTCACGCCCCGTCTCCGCCTACGCCCTCTTCACCTCCATCGCCCTGCCCCCTCACAAGCACAAACGCAACCTCGACTCCATGAAATCCCACCCGTTCACCCAAACCGCAACTCCAGAAATCTACGCGCGCCCCAACAACGAAGTCTACGCCTGCGGCGAAGGCGACACCCTGATCCCGCTCCCCACCTCCTCTGACCTCGTGGCCTGCGACGAGGCGCGGTGTCGTGAGATTTACGACCAGGTCGCTAGCATATCCGAGGAGTTGCGGAACGGAGAGGTGATGGCGCGGCAGGCGTGTTATCTGCCCAATGTGGAGGGGAGAGGGGGCGGACCTTTGGTGGGCGAGACAAGTGTCAAGGGCTTGTTGATGGGGGCCGGGCATACGTGTTGGGGAATTCAGAATGGGCCGGGGACGGGCAAGTTGTTGGCTGAGTTGGCCTGGGAGGGTAAGATGAAGAGTGCGCAGGTTGGGAGTTTGGATCCGCGCAAGTTTGGGGTGTAGACTTTGGGTAGTATTGTGTAGGAAGGGAGTGAGAAGCGAGAGCGGGGCTTGATAGGGACAATGGCCTTCATTTTTGAGACGAAGAAGCTTTTCCTCTGCCGTTCCTCTAGGCTTTTTTAGTGCTACCTTACATCGTATGGATAGGTCCATCATCGACGGCAAACCGCTGTTGTAATCCAAAGAAGTTCCTCAATCCCCAATACCAATACAATTAATAAACGACACTCAAATGTCGTCGAGGTCTTCCTCGTCCGTCTTTTTCTTCCCTTCGCCATTGAGACGATCCATTCTTACATTCTCGTGCCGGCTAGACTCGTTGCCGCTCATTGCCATGGCCTGCCTCCCAGCATCTGAGCTCTCGAGGAAAGCACGGAGTCTCTCTTTACCAACTTCAAGGCCTTGTGCCGATGCAGCGTTGGCCATGCGCGCCATAGGGCCCCAGAGGTTGAGGGTAAAGGTGACGTATGCGCCAATGCCCAATAGGATTAGGAAGATGAAATACACAGGGTTGCGTAGAACTGAGAATTTGTTAGTTGAAATACCCACAAACCCAGATAGTGTACTTATGCTTACCGGCTACTATCTCGTTCCAACCCAGTGCCACCAGCAGACCGTAAAAATAGAGTGGCACTTGCGTAATACCGCCAATCGCGCTACGCTTGGCCTCTACATACACACCATCTGCAGTCTTCTTGAAACGAACAAGCAGATCAGCCTGCTTGGCATCGGAGAGCACAGTCATCTCTTCTTCCAAACTTTTGCCTTCATCTTCGTCTACGCCACCAATGGGTGTCAAGTCATCCTCATCGGCAGGCGATACAGACGCGGGCGCGTCACCAATCCAGGCATCAAGTGGCGGCGGCGCCGAAGTCATTGACAGCTTGAAACGTGCGAGTAAAGGTATCACCGTGATGGTCGATTCGCGGGCCTTTGTGTAAATTCCCTCAATATCGTCCGTTGGTCGCCATATCCGCGGTACTCCATGTTCATCATAGCGGAATTTGTCCTCGAAGTTCTCTCTAAGCTTGAGTAAGATGTTGCCTTCCATGACTTCTTCATCAATTTTAGCACGTAGCACCCCCCAGGACTTGCGGCGCAATCTCCATAAGCCGACATCGACTTCATCAGGACTAGCATCGAAGCTTTGCGCGCGGTCGGTGAATCGCTTTTCTGCACTTGATACAGTGTCGGTGAAGATGGCCCAAACGCGATCCCAGAGATCCTTCTCCGTAGGTGGCCGTTCACCGTGCTCAGGGGCACCAGATCCACCGCGACCGGATCCGAGCTTGTTGAACTCGAGGCCAATGGACTCGTCCAGCCGCGATCGTACCCATCGTTCTATTCTAGTAGCAAGCCGCCTCATCTCTTCTTTGCGAAGACGACCAGAAACGTCATCCAATTCTTTCTTGTAGATCTTGAGCTCATGCAAATGGTTACTCCAGTCTGCACCTTCGATTGCCATGGCCTTGGCGTCTGTCTCAAATTTCTCCAGAGCCTTTGTCTTTTCCGAAGCGACAATCTGCGCAAAATCGTAGGATGCACCCTTCTTTTGACCAATTTTCACAGCTGAACTAACAGCGTCTGTGAAGTTTTGGACACCAGACTTGTGGATGGCAGTGAGTTGTTTCTGGAAGAGCGCCTTGAGCCTTACGTCAACCTTGCCCTCGAGTTCCGCCTGTTTTCGCTTGTAGACTCCCTTGTGGTAGCGGCTTGCGTTTGTCTCAAAGTCCTTGAAAACTTTGGAGCGTGCAGCGTTCATTGTCAGGCCCAAGTCCGGAATAACCGAAAGCACTCCCGATCGAGCATTCTCGGCTTGCTGGTCTTCCAACGGCGTGATCTTTTCGTCAAAGGCCACTAGTACCTCTCTTGATATCTCGTCACATCGAAACTGTGCGAGAAGCTCTTGCTGCGTCGGCAAGTCCAGGTCTTTGTTGCTTACAATTTGATCCCAAATGCCCTCGGCATATATGGGGAAACCATCCGCAGGGATGCGTCTGTGATATTGTGGAAGGAAGATGGGCGCACTCGACTCGTCAATCAGGCCACTTGTGCGGGGGTCGCTGTAGCCTTCCCGGAAGCGCAGGCTCAGCTTATTCACAGCCTCCTCAAACTTTTCAGGCTGCAGGATCTTGTGCGGCAGGGCGACAAAGGCGAAATCAAAGTAGTCTTCTATTCGCGAGTTCTCGAGTCCGTCGGGCTTCGAGATGGTGGACCATAGTTTCGAGAGGTCTTGTAGGATGGTATTCTGTAGGTTGCGAAGAGGTGTAGTTCCGAGGTGGTCACGGATGACAAAGAATAGGAGAGACTTTGGGATTGTTCTGGGGAGACGATGTCAGCACACATGCGAGCCGTGAGAGGTCATCTCCCGACGTACTTGCTGTCCTTGACAAAGAGCTGTAGGTTGACTTCAAAGACGGTCTTCAGCAAGCCCATGTTTGCGCCCTGGTACAATCCGACCTGATGTTCCCAGATGTTGACAATGAGAACCTCGCTCGTGGCCAGTGCAAAGAGGGCCGACTTGCGCTCAAAGTCCTGATCCTCGCCGCGCTCTCTGCCGTCGGTACCCTCGACGTCCATGACAAGAATATTCTCCGCCATAGCCGTGCCGCCCTCTGCGCGCTTGTTCTTGCTCATCCATATTCCCTTGGTGGTTTGGCGACGCTCCTGCTCCGACATGACGCCAAACTGGGTACCGAAGAGGTAGTTGAGGAGTGTCGACTTGCCCGTCGACTGCGAGCCAAAGACGGATATGATATGGTAGTTGAAGCCGGCGGGGATGATCTTCTCGATTCCGAGATATTTGGAGATGTTCTGGCTGCATGGCACACGGCTGTCAGCAAGGCGTTTGTGCATTGCCACGTCTGGCCATTGATATAGATATGTCTTGCAACCAGTCGTCCAATGCAAATCAGGGGCGGGAATGAAGGAAGGGGATCAGGGACCGCAAAAGGGAGAGAGAGAGAGAGAGAGAGAGAGAGAGAACAACGTACTTGAAGACCTTGTCCTCGTCAATGACCTGGATGCCATGTCCATAGGCCTCGTTGTCGACATCCTGGCCGACGCGTGGGAGATGCGCATTCATTAGGAGGGCCGGGCTGGAGGGATGCTTGACGTTGGTGGGACGGTGCCCGTTGGCCTTGAGAAGGTCGTCTGCCATGGTTCCGAGGGACAAGCCGAGCAGACGCTTGCACGGGTGCGGGAAGAATAGTTTGGGTTGCGTTGGTAGGGGGGCGGGCGGGGGGAAAAGGTTGTGTACACTTGTAGTAGGTTGCGTCACCAGGGCCAGGCCATGATGAAGCCGCTGAGACCTCATTCGTTGCCAGGGGCCTCGCTTACACAGCTGCATGGGGGTGACTGCTAGCTGTTGCCGTGAAGATGACATCGCCATCGCTCCCGTCTGGTCTGGCCACATCCTTCCCATCTCTCTCTCTCTCTCTCTCTCTCTCTCTCTCTCTCTCTCTCTCTCTCTCTCTCTCTCTCTCTCCCTCGCTGTTTGCAGGTGTTCACTTTTGTTCTCACTAGCAAGAAAGGCCCTCGGAGGCGGCATGCATGCGTCTTTCCGCGTCCAATCCAGCCTTGCATTTGCAACTCTTGGTAACCAACTCATCTAGTAGCACTCGAGTATAATAGTAGTACAGCACTTCCAAGGTTGAGTACACAAGAGGCACACGTGACCAAGTGTCGAAGCACAACTACGCTGCGAATGGCAAAAGATCCGTATTGCACGCAGGTACTCGACTATGTGCAAGTACAGTTCATAGTTCATAGCATGAGCACTGGGAGATTGGACTAGACTACCTAGAGGTTGCGATATCCTTTCCCACCGCTGACCATCTCACTGCTGATCTTGTTGATCTCCTCGCTATTCTTCACCCATGCTTGACTCGCATCCACCAAGGCTTCGGTCCCAAACTTCATCTTGCACCACTCCACTATCTTCTGCGATTCCCATCGGATCCGCTTCTCCAGACCCGTCTGCTCGCTCTCCGTTCGCTCACTCTGCTTCTTTTTCCTGAACTCTGCCACGTCCTTGATCAGCTGCCCGGCTTCTTCCTCATCATCGTACACAAACAAGACGAGCGACTTGTCTGTCCCTGGACCTCCACAGATTTTCCGAGCAACGTCCTCCTCCAGCTTCTCGCCTCTGTCTTGCTTCTTCGGCTGGAACCCTTCGCATGCATCCTTGACGTCGCTGATCCACGCGTGGGCATTGGGAAAGTCCCCTTCTGCTCGATGTAAGATGCCATGGAGTAGCATGCCTTCGACGGCCGGCGGAGCCTGCATGTGTCGGACTAGAAAATGTGCAGACGGGAGATCATGGTTCAGGATGTGTACAAGGGCTTCCAGTGTCGGATGAACGTGCAGGTCGGCAATGATGGAGCCAACGTTGGAATACTGTGGCTTCTGCGGTGGATGCACCAGGTTGGTTCCTTGCAGCAAAGCAGAAGTCACCGAGTCAAGCTGTTTAGGCCCGTTGTAGTTGGCCATTGTCTTGGGACCCGCAATCTGTATAGTCTTGATCTATCCAGAGAGTACGGCGAAGTGGATCATTGATCTCGTTCTACGTAAGAATCGAGCGGTCAGGCGTACGAGTCGTCGAGCTTCAAAAATCACACGAGGTTGTAGATTCAGTGTAGGTCGTTTATGGTCTGGTCAACATGTGCATGTACATTTGCATGCAGACGTCATGATGGACCCTGGATACCACAACGCACCCTGTCATCTCATCTCATGTGCACACAACCAGTCAAGACCATAGGTTGCAGAACGGACAAGCAACTAGCAAGACTAAACGTAGTAACAATGCCTCACACCCTAGAGGAAATCACGGGGCGCGGAAAGGTGGTCTATTGGCAAGCTCAATCCTAGAGCTAGAACGGTAGCCGATCTGTGTAGGGAAGCGCCATTTCTAAACGCAACCCTTTCCAACTATAGTACATGTGCCACGCTTTTACAACCAGTCGAAAGTACGCATATCCGCTCAATCATACCTTATAAAATCTATGCGAGAGAAGGGACTCCACCAAACGCCGACAAATGAGGACATCGTCCGTAAGAAGCACAAGAGCCAACGATTATCCAGGGAAAAGGGCATAAGAATACCGAGACATGGGGTGAGAATCACTTTCATGCCTTGGAATCTTTCTTCTCGCCTTGGCGTTTTTGTTGCTCAGCGTTTTGTGCAGCCTTGCGTGCGGCCTGGCGTTGCTCTTCAGCTTCGACCATTTCTGTCGCACTCATTAGTACAATGTTTTCCGATTACGACAGGGAAGGTTACGTACCCCTCCACTGGTCCTCGCCAGCGTATCTCTCGTGATGAATCCTCTTCTCAATCGTGTTCTTGTGCTCGGGGTCGTTCGGGTCGATAATTCTAATCGTCTCCCACCGTCCCTTACCCTTGGCCGCGTCATTCCCCTCGATAGCAAAACTGGTCAGCAACGCTGCCAGCGTGCCACCCTGTGCGTACATACGCGCCTGCACCAATTTCTGACTGCTGCTCAGGTATGGGTTGCGGTTGACAAAGTGCCATGACCCCGCCATTGAAGCCACCCAGAAACCGAACAAGAGGGGGTAGCGATTCTCCGATGCCCATTCTTTCGACCGCTGGAACAAAGTCTTGTTGGATTCGAGGAGGGCTTCGCGTTCACGCTCACGCTCGATTTGGCGCTTCTTTTCTGGTGTGTGTTCGATGTCGTAGGCTGCGGAAGCGCGGTCGGCAGCGATAACGGCTGTGAAGGGAGAAGATCAGCTTGTGTCCATGATCTCAGTGCAATCGGATAGTTTGAGAATGCATACCAACGAATGTTCCTGTCGAGGCGACTAGGAAGGCCCGGAAAGGGACGGTGAGTGCACGGAAAGAAGGGTATCGTCTGCTCGCTGCTATGACTCCCACTGCACCGAGGCCTGTGCCGATGAGACCACCAATGGAACCACCTTTGATAGTAGCACTGGACTGCGATTAGATCTCTACCCCAAAAAGCGTTTCGCAGCGTTTGGACTCACTAATAATGTGCCTGCTCCTCATCCTTTGAGAGAACCTTCATGATGACTTGATGCGAGTCAATTCCACACGAGGTATTTGTGTTGGGTTTTCTTCACGTGGCCCAGGAGTCGCAAGTTTTCGAAATCTTCGCGAGAATTGCACAAAGGATTCTTAGGCGTAGTATGGTAGTGAATTGTTTCCTCGGAGGGTGCAACAGGGACAGTCTTATTAAAGCCGTCTGTCAAACTACACCATGGTGACGTCGCCGAGTTTGCGGCGCCACTAGCATAACATTTGTGGATGATGCGGTAAAACCCTTCGGCAGACCCTGGCTAGAACGACTTTCGCCAAACCCATCTTTGAGATCACTCCACCAGCGAATGATCATGCGAGTCTCTGATTTCTTCAAATAGTCAGGGCCTTTGTGTGTTGCTTAGTGATGGCTGGACTATCGATTTACAGTATTTCGCATATAGAGAACGTGTGGCAGACAGTGTTTTGCGTGCACACGCTGCAACTAATGATCATCAGGTTGCAACACCACTCATTCCGATTTGGCATTGGAGAGCAACGCAAGCAAATGTAAAAACACTTAATTACAATGAAACCGCATATCCTAGAATATGCATTGCTATTACCCTGTAAAAAAAGTGCATGCCACAGGTACCGCTAAGCAGAACTCAGCCGCATAGTAATCATCTTCTCCGAATCTTTCTCTTGTTCGGCAACGCATTGTCCATCACGAGTTGCTTGGGAGTCCGGATAAGGCGGAAGCGGCATCTCTGACATGCCGCTGGCGGCTTCTTGTTCATACTTCGCCAACACACTCACACACCTTCACACGGCACACGATGAACACCACTGTGCAACTCTCTCAGCTTGGCTCAAAATCTTGGGCATGCCTCGCAGCGGGACATCTCGATTACCTTGCCTGCTGTCATCTACGTGATCAAGTCATCATGGAAGCTTACATTACATCTCGCGCGTCTTCCGCCCCCCGAGCTATTCCCGAATACCCTGTCAACTCCTGATATCCCCGAGCATCACCAGAGATACCACAATACAATACGACATGGTGTTAGCAGCGAGACTGCGCCCCATAACTTATCTCAAAATATCCCCAAATTGACTCTATCGCATGGCTTCACGAAAAAACATTTCATAACCAAGTCGAGATCGCACAACGCATTCAAGGAAACGGCGGCATTATGTCTTTTCAGGATGTATTAAGACTTCTTCAAAGATACCAACATCCTGACAATGCCATAATAACTAGCCAGATGTTTGCATGTGATTACTACCTTGTAAGAAGGATGGGTATGTCATCTTCAATCCAAGTCCGTCAGCCCCTCCATTGCTACCAAAAAGTGGTAATGCGGGTCTTGCCAAACGATCGAACGATGGAGTTGAACTAGTAAACAAAAGAGAACATGTTGGGGAGAAATTCTTCGAGTAAGCGATGGTCTTCAATCGGCAGTACAACCTGCATGCGTTCTGAATTAAGCCAATAGAATTGACACGTTCGTCGACATGGACTTTTATCTTGGGTAAATCCATGTTACCTTGTTTGAGATTTCAGGCGATTGCTTCACCGGCTGATTATACCCAACAATGTTTATGTTGTCGACATTGAAGACCGTTCAAGTGGCCATCAGTGGAAGGCACCGAAGTTGCTGCGTGGCGTGGGGTTGCTGTAACGAGAGATCAGACCAGTAGGCGGTCCAGGGCGTGTAGCAAGAGCTGGGTTGCAACAAAGCATAGCAACACGGGAGCCGTACTTCGAACCACGGAGCGAGACCATGTGCTTCCGTATGTGGCTTCCAACAGCCTCGCGGTGTTGAGCGCCCGCGCTAGTCAAGATATACTGAATAAGATAGTTGCCAAACTGATCACCGGCAACTGAAGAACAGTTAGCATTATGCAAAAGGACCCTTTGATGCACAATACTTACTGTCTATAAGAGGCATACGTGGTCGATCGGGTCGGGCCTCGCAGACACGCTCCAAGTAACGATCGAGAAACTCGCTGCCTCCGATCTTGAGGCACTTCTCAATGACCTTGGACGCATACTGATCCATGCTGTATTCGGTAGCGAAACGGAGGATATGATCGATAGCACGACCTCGATCGGCAGGAGCACCATGCTCACAGATGTGCTGGATGCACCAGTTGCCGAATTGACCATGAGAGATTACATCGATACTGGCGAGAACCTCATTGATGCATGGACGCTACATGTTGTCAGCATGAACTTTTCTATAGTTTCGATATAACATACCTTGTCTTCTTCTAGGCAATTCTCAAAGATGTTCTGCACTACGAGACTACCCGTCTCTCCCAATGCGACCTCATGCCACATTCCTCGAAGAGCTTCGTTGACGTAACGCATGATTTGAGGAGGGGAATCGCTCCACCGAAGCTCAAATAGCTTCTGCCATACGTGACAGGCATATCGATGAATGACAGTTTCGGGAATGCGACGAAGCAGTTCATGAACCATGGTAGCCTTGTACTCTTCAGGGACACAATCAAAAGCCTTCTGGATTACATGACAACCGAAAGCATCCATACTCAGTGCTAGGGTATTGCCGCGAATGGCTTGAGCAATAGCAATGATCTGCTCCTGAGTGCCATGCTCGAAGCAGCGTTGAACGAGGAAATTGCCAAATCGATTGACCATGAGAGCGTACGCTTGAGATATGATGGCTTCGACGATCTCGTACTTCTGTTCGGGTGTGCCGACCTTGAGCTTTTGCTGGAGGAAAATGGAAGCTTGCTGGTCATTGTTGCAGATGATCTTATCGACGATATATTTCCAGTTGCAGCTCATGTTACGGTCGAGCAGGCGGCGATAGTTCATTGGTTCGACTGGGTGCACGTATCGTGGACCACCCGCCTCGCTAGGGACCTGTATTGTGGTCAGTATGAAGCCCTTCTAATCCCATATCTGTGGAACCAACCTGAGAGTTCCAAGGGGATGGGCCCATACTGCTAGCAACATTGAATTCGCTAGCATCAGGCGAGAGTCCGCTATTCATCGTTCCGATTGGGGCGTGGTGGCCAACGGGATACATCTGTGGCATATTATATTGAGTATAGAGCGGGTCAAAAGCAGATCCAGGCCGGCTAGGAGGGTTGCTAATGGCGTTCGCCATGCCACTTGCCATGCTACTATTGAGGCTATTGTTACTCATGCCGCTACTGCGGAAACTCTGATCGAGGGGAAAGTGGGTAGGCTCATTCAAAAACTCATTGCGGCGAAAGCCTGCTTGCACGGCTGGCTGGCGTGCTGATACCGGTGCCTGATATGCCGGAGCGAAGCTATTGCTGCTAGTATATGCCGGACGAGCAGGTTCATTGCTCCAACCATAGTTAGTTCGGGTCGAGGCATTGAATTTGTTCTGAAGCTGGGTGAGGGTCTGTTCAGTGACATCGCCCTGGTAGCTGTAATCTGCTTCAGATGACTGGCTGAGATGCTCCATGGTAGAGCGAGCAACATTCTGGCTATGAATTTCCTGATTCATGCGGTCGACTTCGTTGCGCGCGTCCTGTAGCTCGAGCCTTAGCTTTCGAAGCTCGGCAGCGTCGACAAGTAGGAGCGATGTATCCATCTCGGTTGAAGGCGTAGAAGCGAACTCATCAGTGGCTGGTGTAATCGGTACCGAGCCGCTGGAGGAGTTGTAGGTATCCGGAGGAGAGGAACGGCCGTTGAGACGCTGCAGTAGAGAGTCCACAACGGCCGACTCCTCATGAGCTTCTATCTTGGGATTCTACACACGTCAGCTTGGAGTCTTGGATGAATTGGTAGGCACAGAGTCAATTCTGATGGGTTTGGGATTAATTGGGGGTGCGGCTAGGGAATATCTTAGATAAAGAGAGGGACGCTACTGACCTTATAACCATCGATGGAGCTCGGCAGCGGCAGCAGAGACTGGTTGCCCAGAGCAGAAGCACCGAGAGGACGCCTCATACCCTGCATACCAGAGGTCAATGATGGGCCAAAGGCGCGATAGAGGGAATACGGATAACGATTATGGATTGTGGAGCCTGCCACCTGGCCTAGTACCTCTGGTGAAGTGTCGATCCTGAGGTCCGCTGCTACAGAGAAGCGGCCGGGACCCTTGCGCGGGGTAGGAGAACCGTCGGATGTGATATTGAAGCTCATGCTTGCTCGTGGTGGGCGTAAATGGAAAAGATCCGAGAGATGAGTGGAGTTTGACGTGACTGGACTGGGCAGATGCGTAGATAATATGCAAAACACGGCAGCTCTGAGAAAGCTTGATTGGCGAGGTATATGGCCAAAGTCAGATGCAGAAAAGAAGAAAGGACTCAGATGTGAAATAGATTGGCAACACCCAGGCAAGCCACACTGGCTGGAAAGGGCGATAGCAACGAGAGACGCAGGGACGGGCACGTCGTGTGGTGGAGGAAAGAAGAGGCGGACAGCGAGCCGAAGGGATTTGGAGTTGGCGGGGTCGACGGCAATCGAAGCTGCTGAAACGATAGGAGAGAGGCTCGAGAAAGAGGCGGAAGTTGCACTTTGGGTTCGCTCCTGCCCAAAGTGGCCTTCACCTTTGATTGAGATAACCGAGGACTCAAACGGACTGCAGCGTCCAGACCGAACCGTCCGCGTTGACTTGGAGCTTTCGATCTTGCACTACTAGAAGTCGCTATTGTGCGGACAATGGCAAACGGCATGCTGGACAGTGGGTGGAGGGGGTGAGGGGAGGGGGAAGGTGGTCTCGGTGACGTCGTTCGTGTTTGCTAACCAGTCTGAATCATACTAGAGGCTGTGATCTGCCATTCCGAATCCAAGAAGCCCATGGCCAAGACCCCCTCGACGCCTCTCCATTTTGCGCTCTCGCCAAAGACAACGAAATCTGGCTGGCCTACACCAGTAAGCATCGGTACAACTCTAGCGGCCTGTCGTAGACCATCCTCATCAGCCCCCCATAGTACCAATTCAAGCCTCTGCTCTTCTAGCGGCCGCAGGAACGCTACACCTCGAGCCTCCTCACCATAGTGCTGGTCGTGGCCTAGGTAGTCTTGGACGGTGACACCGGACTCGTACACACGGATGGCATAGCCTTCTTGATGCCCGGGGTCTGATCCAATGAGGAGTGAGATCACGTTACCGGTTGAGTTGGCAATTACGGTCGATGAGCTGGAAGAGATAATCCTAGCGTCTGCTTTAAAGTATTGATGTAGGTTGCGCGAGATCTGGAGTGCTACATGGGACGTATTGGCGACACTTGGATATCGAATGATGAAAGGACCTCTGCTGCGAAGTATAGCTGTCATGGAACCCAGTTGTCGCCCGTTTCTCTGATTTTTAGCCGCCGCTGTACGGGAGTGTGCCAGACTCCAAGCAGTATCTACCTTTGAGAGGCGAATCCGGGCTCCGGAAGACATAGCGATTCTTTCAACGCTCAAATCCATGTCCTGCCCATCAACCTTCAGCGGACCGCCCCAGAGGATCGGATCGAGCTCAAGGCTTTGTACGTTTGACGTACGGATAGCATGGCCTTTTACACTGACTTTGCCGTAATGTCCTGGGTCGAGGAGATGTAGTACCCTGATACCATTCTTGCTTCCCATATCACCAGGATCACCAACTGTGATACAAAACTGTGAAAGTCTTCGTGGAAGTACCTCTTGGCTATCGGCTTGCATGTTGTAGAAGTCTACCAGCTCAGGCGTTGTCATCACGGTATCCCACCAATGACTACATGTAACGTAAGCTCATACCAGCATTGAAGGCAAAGTATTTCAAGACTCACTTCTTGCCTTTGACTTCATTGTAACTTGAATTTCCCCCTGATATATATAGCTGCTGAGCAAGTAATCTTGAGTTGTACGCCGGTACATTATCATCAATCTCACCATGCTGCTGTTGAATCGGTATTCCTTGCATGTTTGACACCAACATCTCATGGCGATAGCTATTCAGCGATGCGCTTAGGATGGCTGTGCGGCTCGGATCCGCGGGTTGCCAAAGCTCATACGATACATACTTCTGAATAGAAGCATAGCCTGAGATGGGTGCGGCAGCCAATACCTTATCCGGCCGATGGGACATGGCATACCAGGTGCCCTGGCCTCCATTCGAATGACCTGTTACAATCCATCGATCAGTATCTACGCCTGGACCTTTCCAATTCACGTTTTCCATCCACGCTGGAATAGCCTCAATGGCAGCTTCGACGTCGGCGAAACCCCAATTGTGCCAGTCATCGCCAGACCATGGTGTGACGCCTGTAGGGAAAAGCACCCAAGCGCAAAGATCAGAGACAGGGTCGAGACTTCCAGTGACCATGGGACTATCTGCTTCGAGCCCGGCACCATGTAGGACAAGCAGGACAGGTAGGGTCTTACGGTGTGGCTGACAAGCCGCATTCTGAGCTGGTGGTCGAAGCATAGCATATGAGACTATGCCGCCAGGATGGAGAAATGTGATCTTATGCGGCTTGTAAATCGAGGTGTGTTTCAAATCCTGCCAGACTTGAAGTGAGGATTGCCTCGTATTGTTCACTGTGGAGTACGTGATGTTGTACCCGATAGCAGAGCTATTGAACTCCTTTAATAAAACGTTAATGGGTAGCGACCGAGTCTGACCTGCACTGATAACGAGCCTGGAGTTGGAGTCCTCATTCGATGATGTGTGGCTACTCTGATCAGACCTTAGAAGTCAGTGAATCTTGTAATGGCCAGTGCAGATTGAACCTCATTCGCCATATGAAAGAGAAGGCTTACGTTGACTGCTTGTACGTCTATGATCTCAATATCAGAGTCACCGCTATTCCTAAGAAGAACCGATGCTAGGGGCGACGCCAATTTACCATCAACAACATCAGATATAAGCATACCAGGTTTCGCAAGCTCCAGGGACGTTGAGACTCGCTGCATATCGACAACAACATCTACAGTAGGCTCCAAAATACCCCCAAAGGCTCTGACGTCCCTCACGAGGCGGAGGTCAATCTTGTGAAGGCCAGGTTCCAGATGCAGCACCGCTGGGGCGTTCCGGAGGGTATAGAAGTCTCCTCCAAAGTAGTGTCTATCATCAACCCAATACTCTAGAATTGCGTCAGTATGGAGAATCACATGTTGTGTTTCACGTCCATGGACAGTGAACTCTCCACGTGCCCATGCCTGATACTGCACGGCAGCCCAACCGTAGACGAGCTTCAGGAAGTCCCAGTCGACATTTGAGTAGGTTACGCGGAGGGTGGCATTCGCCGAATCGATGCCATTCAGTGTCTTGGCGGCCTCTGTGGCGTTCCATTTCGCTGTTCCATTGGTGGGCAAAGAACTCCTGAAGGTTGCTTCTGCAGTGTAGGAGAGGTTTCTGAAGCCACCGACATATTCAAGTGGATCTGCCCCCCACGTAGCCTCTGGAGGAATATCAGCAGGTGTCGATAAGGCTGTGAATAGGGGACGTACCGCGCGTTCCAATCTGGAATGGACCAAGCGTCTGCCATGTAGTATTGAAGGAGATGAATGATGATTTGTGTTTGTGTTTGTGCTCCCGGCCAGCTAGTGGGGCCATGAGGGGTTCATAGAATGAAGCATGGCATTGCTGCAAGAACAGAAGTGAGGAGGTCAGGTGGAGATAGGAATGGGCATGCATTGTGCAAAGATCACTGTCAAGCCAGGGACAGGACATTCAACTTCAGTGGCTGAGGTTGACAGTGTGCTCTGTCGTAGGCGTGGGATGAAGTTCATCAGCCAGACATCACATCACGTTTGGATGCAGCAGGGGAGTACCGGTAGATGACGTTGGGTTGTCTGATGCAGCAACGGGCATACCGGTACTCTAGGTACCGGTACCGTAGCAGGCTTCATCAAACGCGTCTTGGCTGATGCAGTGTGGGAGTGCAGGTGGGGGATCCAAGGGCCATGGCAATTGAAGAATCCACCAAGGCTGCCGCAAGGCTTAACGGTACCATACTATATATAGAGGTAGTCGTAGTACCGGTACTCTAGGCCTTGAACCCGAACCATGACCGCCGCAAAACCGCGTGTACTGGTTCCAGTCTGCCTGCCAGAGTTGCCCAACAATGCTGCGCTAAAGTACCGGTACGGACCGTGAAGCTACTACCGGTAGCCATAAGCGCAAGTCAGCCTTCGACTCAACACCGCACGCCTCTTGTTGTACTGTATATTATTGTTTTGTTCCCCTCCTGCGCCCAAGCAGCGTTGTCTTGTACCACTTCACTTCGACCACCTGATATCATTAGCACAAGGGAGTGAGTGCCCCCACGATACCGGTACACCAGCCACAGACGACACCTCGCCCATCGCAATCTGGCTGCCCCCCATGGCTTAACGAAGCTTGCCACGACGCCCTCGTAGTTCCGCTACCGCCATCGACATCGCCATTATGCCCCAATCGGCGCGGGATCCAAGCCCGAATGCGACGTTCAAGTTTCCTGCCTTCCAGCCTGATCTCCTGCCCATGCCCGAAGAGGACCACTATGGCGTCAGCTCATCGCGCGGCCGAAGTCCCAGTCCCCACCACACCGCGCAGAACAATGGCAGTGCAGTACCGGCCGACAAGTGGCAGCCGCGGCGAGACTCCCGGCTGGCCTCCTCTGGGCCGTCGACGAGTCGACATGGCAGACAGAAGAGCCTGAGCGAGGCCCTGCGCACGATACGGACGCGCAAAGGCAGCGTGAGCCAGAACGCGCACGAGATTGCGGATGCACTAAAGGCGCCCCTTTCCCCCAGACTCATTGTATGGCGAGGTCGCCCCAGCTGTCTGTACGCGGGTGCTAACGGGTGTAGGTACTGTGCGGTGTGTGGTACATGACCTCCATCTTCACCAACATGTCCTCCAAGGCCATCCTCACTGCGCTCCCGAAGCCAGTCACCCTGACGACGGTCCAGTTCGCTTTCGTTTCTGGGTGGTGCCTCGTGCTCGCCGCCTTGGCTCGCAGGTACCCCCGCCTCAAGCAGACCATGCCCTTCCTGAAATATGGAATTCGCTCGCCGTCCAAGGAGCTCATCATGGCTACGCTGCCCCTCACCTGTTTCCAGATTGGAGGACATATATTGAGTGCGGATGCGACATCGAGGATCCCCGTATCACTGGTTCATACGATCAAAGGCCTGTCTCCGCTCCTAACAGTCATGGCCTACAGCATTTTTTTCAAGATACAATACTCTTTGCCAACATACCTATCTCTGATACCCCTGACGGTCGGTGTCATCCTGGCATGCTCTGCAGACTTCCACGCAAATCTTATTGGCCTCATGTCCGCCTTCGCTAGCGCAATCCTCTTCGTTGTACAAAACATTGTTTCCAAGCAGATCTTCAACGATGCTGCTGCCGCCGAGAAAGACGGTCTGCCGCCCAACAAATTCACCAAACCAGACAAACTCAACCTTTTGTGCTATTCCTCTGGCCTCGCCTTCTTGTTCACCCTCCCTCTCTGGCTCTGGTCCGAAGGATTTGCGCTCATTTTCGACCTTCTCTATGAAGCTAGAATCGAATTGTCAGATCATCCTGAAGCCTTTGACCACGGACGTCTTTTCCTCGAGTTTCTCTTCAATGGGACATTTCATTTTGGCCAGAATATCGTTGCCTTTATTCTCCTGTCCATGGTTTCGCCAGTCACCTACTCCGTCGCCAGCCTGATCAAGCGCGTCTTTGTCATTGTATTCGCAGTCGTTTGGTTTGGAAAACCACTGACCAAGATCCAAGCCTTTGGCCTCGTCCTCACCTTTCTCGGCCTATATCTGTACGATCGCACGTCGGATGCTGCCAAGGCGGATAAGCGCGTAAAGGCAATGCAGGCCAAGTCGAGCGGCACGCTTTTACCGCTTGTGACGGACTTGAAGTCGAGGCCGGTGTTTACGAATAGCCCGGTCACCATGTCGGGTACTGGTGCGTACCCGATGGCGGACATTTCAGAGACCAGGGACGAGAAGAGGGATGATGACGTGGGTTATAGGAGAACTCCTGAACACGGCTCTGCTGGCTATTTGCCGCCAGGTACAAAACAGGATGAAACTTGGCGGTCTCACGACATGAATGGTATACGAACTATCGGCGTTTCGTAGTGCAATTACTAAATAGATTTCTTATTTGCTTTCGCTCAAAGATACTGTGTGCCTCGTCCATGTTGTATCCATGCTTTTACATCACAAGACAGAATCCTGTAGAACAATTCACGGCTGAGCAGGAGCGATCATCAAAAGCGAACATGGCCCGTCATGATATAAAAACTAGGCTGTTATTGTGTCAAAAAAACCTATGAGCAGCATTTCATATTACCGCCGCCACGCCAGCGAACCACAAACCGTGATACCAGCAACACGCACACGGCAAACGAGACTCCCGACTACAAAGCCGGGAGCAAAGCAGCAGAGACATGAAGCAGATGATCAAGTGAAGGTAAGAGAACCAAATGGGACTTCCTAGTACGCCGTGGACATGTTCTTCGCATGACTCATGTCTCTCGAACGTGGGACATTGCGCATGATCGGATGGTCCCTCGTTTCGCTCTAACAACACCAGGGACCCGCTAACTCCCCCTGACCGAGAACCAGTTGCAGAAAAACAAAGGTGCAGCAGACTTTGCGAGTGTAGTTGATACGCCAACACGAGTCTAGCAACATCCCTTCTTCTGTTCGGCATCGGCCGACTTGCTGATTTCGAGCACTTTGCGCTCGCCGCCGAGCACGTTCTGGCTGCCTTCGCCTTGGTCGAGGGCTTTGCTTGAGACGATGCGGTAGATTTCTGTGGGCTGGTGTCAGCATGTACTTGGTTGGTAAGCATCAACAAAGAAAAAAGACTAGGGCTTTGGAAGAGGGTAGCAACAGAAGTGGCGGTGTAGGTGGGAAGTGGCTGGGCACAGCCGTCGTGCCACTCCTGCTCTACGCTCGACCACGCCTGGTAAATGCCACATCATCCCTATGGGTACGGAATGCAAACGTCGGCGTACCTGTGAGGATGTTTTGGAAGGCGAGCTCTACGTTGCTGGCGTCGAGGGCAGACGTCTCGATGAAGGATAGGTTGTTTTCGCCTGTGGAGGAGCTTGTCAGTCGTGGACTCTTTTGACTCTGAAGCATTGGGGCCGTCGCATGGTTGCCTAGGCTACGTACTTGCAAACTGCTTTGCCTCCTCTGTAGGCACTGCCCGCAGATGCCTCAAATCGCTCTTGTTACCCACAAGCATGATGACGATGTTGGAATCAGCATGGTCGCGCAGCTCCTTTAGCCACCTCGTGACGTTTTCGTATGTCTGGTGCTTGCTGATGTCGTAGACGAGCAGCGCACCGACTGCGCCACGGTAGTATGCAGAGGTGATGGCACGGTATCGCTCCTGGCCCGCGGTATCCCAGATCTGCGCCTTGATGGTTTTTGCATCGACCTGGATGGAGCGTGTGGCGAACTCGACGCCAATGGTCGACTTGGAGTCGAGATTGAACTCGTTGCGGGTGAAACGGCTCAAGAGGTTGGATTTGCCGACACCTGAGTCTCCAATGAGCACCACTGCGGGGTGTTAGCGCATGTGTGTCGAGGCTGCCATGGGCGGCGTCGCTATTTGGCTGTCTATGTACCCTTGAAGAGAAACTGCAAGACGGGCGCGTGTCAGTCAGGGTAACCAGTGCTCGAGGCCTCGCAGGCGGACTCACGTCATATTCGTCATTCGCCATGGTGGTTGCAGTGGGCGGCGGGGGGGGAGATGCGCAGCGGGTGGGGATGAAGACGCGAGGGCGAGAGGGCAGGCAGGGTGCAGAGGAGGAGGCCGAGGGAACCAGTGACAGAGTGTGGTCAAGAGTGGATGTGTGGTGGTGGTGGTGGTGATGGTGGCGGGCGGGTTGTCAGTGGGGGGTGGGTGTGTGTCGTGGTAAGTAGAGTAGTGGTGGTGGCTGTCGTTGTGCTGTGTGCAAGTGCAAGCCCCCAGCTGCCCTGCCATAGCTACCTAACCCTCTGCACTGCATCTGGGCACCTAACCATGACAGCGTCGCCAAGACCCATGTTTGGCACTAACACGATTCCTCAGTAGGTAACATGACTTTGGACGTTCGTCCACACACGCTGTAGCTACCTGAGCTGAGCTGAGCTGGCTACCTTACCTGCCCTTTGTTGGCCACTCACTGCTTCTGTCCAACCGTCTAGTACCCGTACTGTGAACCATCTCTCTGTTTGCAGTCGCTTTGCAACACAACGGCCTTGACCTCGATCACCGCTTGATCACGACCTTGCTTCACACAGGGTGGCCCCCTCTACGTAGAAGAGTAGATCCGTGACAGGCGACAGACGGCCCGATGCTTTGCTGGTTTGATGCTGCTTTCGCTTGCGACTTGCCAGCACAATCCACAGGCCATCTCAAGTGAAGGCCAACTACCTACTCAAGGTACCGGTACCGCCCACACTCCCTGATTCGCATCTGTTTAGCCAATCAGTAGCCATCACCACCCTCACCACCACCATCACTACCATCACAATGGACATGGATCCGCCCGTCAACAGCGCCAACAGCGCCAACGTAGACATGGAATATGAGACAGATAATATCTCCATCACCTCCACCGTATCTAGCACAAAGGAGAGCAAGTACGACGCAGTACAAGTCTTATCGGAACGACCCTCGCCAGACGATGATTGTGATAAAATGTATTTGATCGAATGGGAGAACTATCCTATGCACAGGTGAGTTGGCCAGAGAGTCCATCTGCATAGTCTTAACCTAGTCTGTAGATGTAAGAACCATCCTTGCCTCCACCCTCTGGTGACCGCCCTCCAGTAGTCAGAACACACAGGTGCTCCCTCACGGGCGGACCCGGATATTGCAGAATCCATCTGACTACGGTGACGCCATCATGAATTCGTGCCCTTGAAACCCGTTCTCATAGATTGCTGACGACACCAAGGCACGTGGGAGCCCGAATACCACCTGGACGAAACCAATCTGCTCGAGCTATGGGAGCTTGAAAAGCAACGCCTTGGTGAAGCTGGTGCTCAAAAACTTATGGAAGAGAATGAGTCAAAGTACTACGCTGCCGTAGCGCAGGCGAAAGAGGCCCATGAGCACAGACAAGCCAAGCGCCTCAAAAAGCGCAGACAGCTATGGAGACGCGCGAGATATATCGTCACAGACAGTGAGAGCGAGAGCGAGGGCGAAGCAATCGAGCATGTAAAAGTACAGAAAAGGTCCAGACAAGAGCAAGAAGGGAATCCCAACACTGTGCTACGAGCCCGAGACACCATGCAACACAACCGCCTGCTCATGGATCCTCGACAACCACTGTCTCTGGGCCCAGATGACCTGCCAGAAACACCAGAGAGTAGTCTGTTCGTCGGGCAGGACCCACCGGCTCGTAGAGCACCATTACAACAGTCGGATTCATCCTCCTCATCTCAAGAGGAAGGGGAAGAGGAAGACACGCAAAGCTCAGACGACTTAGTCATGGGCAAGATGCGGTCCAGGAAGAAAATGGGAAGATCCAAAATGAGGACAACAGAAGATAAGATGGATTCAGGCAGACCAGCGTGGGAATCACAGCTTCCATCTGCCAGAGCTGTCCAGTCAGCCACAATCCAAGTGCGCAGGGATGTGTCAGCCAGACAAACCTCAAGGATCACATCAAAGGAATCATCTTCCAAGGTCAATGAAGGTCTGCGGAGAACATCACAGTCTTCGTCCGCTCCAGTACCCAGCTCAACCAGTCCAATAACGCCAAGGCATCAAACGAAACCGAATAGTCTCAAGTCTATGAAAAGAACGGAGCCTCCAAAGACTGCCCGTGGTATCAAGTTAGTAAATGAACCCAGGACGCAGTCCACCCCATGGAGAAATGGTGACAAAGCATTCTCTACGTTGAAATTTCGGAGAAATGCAGCAAAGAAAGGCCAAGCAGAGGGCACTCCAGAACTTGGAGCCCTGAGATTTGTGGGTCAAGTTCCACCTGGCATGAATAGATCGACGCGCCCAATCTCTAATGATGATATCTATGGGCGTCGAGAAACTGGCACGCGTCGTCTCCAGGAGTTAGACGTAGATGATACACCGAGACGCACCTCTGTGCATCAAGCTGAACCTTTGAACGACTGGGAAGCTGACAAGATCCCTTTGGTGTGTCCTGAGTGGAGATTGAGCAACAATTGCAAGTTTGGTCCTCGCAGATGCCGCTTCATGCACCGCAATCAGGATGCATTTGGGCAGGATTTGCCCTTGGCTCCGCCGGATGGGCATGTACCTCCCAAATATCACAAACCACCAATTACTTGTAGGTATTGGCTACTTGATCCCAATGGATGCATGAAATCAGATGCAGAGTGTCCTTATGCTCATAAGAATACGGGGCATGTTTTGTCTGAAACACGCCTTTCGACTGAAGTCATCGATCCTGAAAGGAAACCTGTCAGCGAGCAGCAGACTATAAACAGAGCCAGTCGCAAATTGGTGACATGTCCGTACTGGTTAAAACAGCCGGCAGGTTGTACCAAGACGGACGATGAGTGTATCTTTGCCCATAGGAACATGGGTGTTGTCACTGATGGCAGGGGTCATAACTTTCCGATAGACATAGCGATGGAACCAGCCTTCAAAAGTAGGGCGCATCCCTCCCAGCAAGGAAGAGTAAAGCCATCGTTGTCATCGTCCGAGTTTACCTGCTTCTACTGGACTAAGAACAAATGCCACTTTACACCAGAGACGTGTAAACATCAGCATAGGCACACAGGCAAAATTGCACCGCTACGACGTGAATCGAACACATCCTCGGCCCACTATGAGTACCAGCACGAAAACACAGGATATCAATCTGATACGCAGGCGGAAACCTTGGGTAAGTTCACCTTGGTCTCACTAACGCTATTCTGACAAAATCCAGGTCCTGCTGCGTCAAGATCCCGCTGGAACATCCCTCCGCCACCATCAACATCACCTCCACTTCCACCTCCACCTCCAGCACCTCATCCTCCCGTTCCGGTTGTTCAACAAGTCAAGCAGGTAGGTTCTATCGTTGTTTATGGGATTGAAGTTGTCTTGGTGATGTACCGCTTGCAATGATACCCACAGCATGGGCCAGCAGCCAGACTCCGTATGTGCACTAACTTTATACACAGGCTGATACATTATGCCTCGGATTGAAAGCTAGTATAGAGCAATATTGCAAGCTCGACTTTCTCGACATGTTTACTAAGAATGATGGGAGCGCGCTTCTGGACCGGACAGCATTCCTACTGTATCATCCAGAGCAACATTTGGAGGAACTTGAGCTAATCACTCGTTGGCTGTTGATGCACCATGTAGAAGTTTCAAACGTTTGGTACGACGGATCATGGGATCGCTTCAAGTCGCAGATAGTCAGAGGAGGGACAGGTATTATTGTTGTACGCGCCATGTTCCACCCTCCTACACAACCCCGACTGACTTCAATTAGACTCACCCTGAATTCCAGCATTTTACAGAGCTACCCGGTTTCGGTCTAGTTCTCCAGAAAGAGATACGTATATGGTCTGTTGGTATACAGGACGGCATCGAATGCGATCCCAATCTTGAGGCATCTCCAGCTGTAATGCGATATGATCGCATCGAGATTTTCCCACTTGGTGGCTTTATTTACATCACTGACGAAGTTTTTGAAGAGAAGCCTCAACTGGCCCTGAAAATTGTGCAGCAATTCTTGGAGAAGATTGCTCAGCTTCGACAGTTAGAAGGACCTATTGCCCCATGGCATACTGTAAATGATGCTTGCTTGCTTTGGCGTCTTTGCACACGCCCAGAGTTGACGGAGCATATATTTCAGAGATGTGAGGCGCAGGCTGCGGAGGTCGATGCCGGAGATCCTTGTGCGACAAGGTACAATCAAGCACTAACATGCATTTGATGAAATGCTAACTCAAACGACAGCCGCGCCGAACTCTACACGATACTTGCTGAGCACAATCTCGTTGACGATTCCTCTGAACCTTTGAGCCTGATTCCCGATAAGTTTCCCATCATCTCAGAGCGTCGTGCCATTTCCGAGGATCCACACATTGATTACTTCAATGCGCTGGCACGCAGTCAGCAAGAAGCAAACTTGTGCATGATTCGCTACTATTCCTTGATCCAGGCTGATATGCGACGCGATTATCGCCACTTCTTTGTCGTCCATACGGACCCAACTGCTTCCTATGTTCAGGATTGGAAGCACGAGATTCAGACTATTGTTGCGGTTGTCACACCTGAGAAGTGTCTTGAGGAACTCCAAAAGGATGGGAGTAAGAGTCTGTTCGACTTTTGCGAGCGCTATATGCCTGGTTTGCAAGCAAAAGATGAGCAGAAATAGGATAGGAATGGTGAGGGGGGGAAACACAGAGTCGACCTAGTCGGTCAGTGTGCCTAGTGTGCAGTGATATTCCTAGAATGCGTATGAACTACTTGTCGTGATGCAATGGAGAGAAGACAAGATAGGATGCACTGTACAGGTACCAGTGATGTCTTCTTCATCTTCTACATCACATCAATACGATCATCACCCCACAATAGATACGAAGTCTTTCCGCTGCCCCTTTACCCCACAAAATCAGCCAAGTTAAGCGGGTTCGCCTGGGGTCGCACGCGGCCTCCGGTGACACTTCGGACTGACAAAAGCGCACCGTTCGAGTGGCTTTCGTTGCCCAATGCCGTCCACACCAAGTCACTGCTGTTATCTCTATTATCTCTAGGGCTGGGTATCGTGATGGCTACATACGGCTGATTCATCATGGTAGTGTTGACCAAGACCTTATCTCTACCGGTAGAGCTTTGACAATCTCTCTGTCTCTCTCATCAAAGCCACACTGCCTCTCTCGCTTGCTAGTGGTTCCAACATGTCTATCTCGTGCGCTACCTACTGTTGCTGAGCACTAAAAGCTTGGTCCTAGACTTGATTGACCATGTTCTCCGCAGGCTTGGGTGTTAGTGCGCGGCTTTGAAAGGGCGCCCGCCTTGCACGCGACAAAGTTCCCGTGTTCCGGTTCCTGGTCACTTTTCTAACCCTTTCCCTTTCCTCTGGGTTGTTCTCCAAAAGGCTCGGCTCGTTGCATTCGTTGCTGCTGTGTCGCAACTCTACTCATCGCACGCCCGCATACGTTTTGCGTTTCGACAATTAAACAAGGAGGATTCAAGGGCACAATGGTTAAAAGTGTGTCGATAGATGGGGATGGAGGTCGTAGACAGGGCTCAACGTCGGACCCGAGCGCTGATGCTGCGCTCGCGAAACTGGGTTACAGAAGCGAACTTCCTCGGAATCTGAGCATGTTGAGTGTTCTAGGAATGTGAGTCTTGTCTTTCTAGAATGCGTAGTCTGATACATGTGCGATCAATACGTTGTGCGCGAACTACAACTTGTCGCGCCCACATCACGACCACACTCACAAGTCCGCCAACACAAATATCCAGCTGATGCTAACCATGCAACAGGTCTATGGCTATCATGGCCGTGCCCTTTGGATTAAGGTGAGTCGCTTGGAAAACTATACTTTGGCTTGAGCTAATTCCACCCATAGCACGACTCTATACATCACCTTGACAGACGGCCAAAGTGTTACCATCATCTGGGGCTGGATACTGGTCTCTCTGATCTCACTATGCATCGCCGCCTCACTTGCCGAGATTTGCGCCGTCTACCCCACAGCTGGTGGAGTTTACTACTGGTCGGCCATGCTCTCAACACGGGAATGGGCACCCATCTCATCCTGGATCACAGGCTGGCTAACGCTTGTCGGAAACTGGACGGTTACATTGTCTATTAATTTTTCTGGTGGACAACTGATCCTGTCGGCCATTACACTATGGAATGAGGATTTTGTGCCCAATGAATGGCAGACTGTGCTAACCTTTTGGGCAGTCATGCTAGTTTGCATGAGCATAAACATCTTCGGCGCGAAATACCTGGATTTGATCAACAAGATCTGTATTTACTGGACAACCTGCACTGTGATTATTATCATGATCGTACTCTTGACCATGGCGGACAACAAGAGAGATGCCGACTTCGTGTTTACCCACTACGATGCGAGTGCAAGTGGATGGTACGTCGTTCAAGGAGGGTGGCGATTTTGGCCCCAATGCTGACACTTCGTAGGCCATCTGGTTGGGCATTCTTTGTTGGACTGCTCCAAGCCGCATACACGCTGACTGGATACGGTATGGTCGCAGCCATGTGCGAGGAAGTTGCTTACCCCGAGCGCGAGGTTCCCAAGGCCATTGTGTTGTCCGTTGCAGCCGCAGGTGTCACTGGAGTCGTTTACCTGATCCCGATACTGTTTGTGCTGCCAGATGTACAGATGTTGCTCGATGTAGCCAACGGTCAACCTATTGGTCTCCTCTTCAAGACCGTCACAGGATCTGCCGGTGGTGGGTTTGGCCTACTCTTCCTCATTCTGGGCATCTTGATATTTGCTGGGACTGGCGCACTCACGGCAGCATCCCGTTGCACATATGCTTTTGCGCGTGATGGTGCGATTCCGGGTTCAAGATTCTGGGCCAAAGTCGACAAACGGTTTGATATCCCACTCTTGGCACTTGTTCTTTCTACAGTCGTGGATTGTCTTCTTGGTCTCATTTACTTTGGATCAAGCGCTGCCTTCAATTCCTTCACTGGTGTAGCAACAATCTGTCTATCCACGTCATACGGAATGCCCATTTTTATTTCGGTTGTTCGCGGTCGCAAAGCCGTTGAGCATTCGTCCTACTCGCTCGGTCGTTTCGGGTACGCCATCAATGTCGCTATGATCATCTGGATTTGTTTGGCCGTCGTGCTCTTCTGTATGCCGGTCAGCCTGCCAGTCGAGCCTGCTACCATGAACTACGCAAGTGTCGTGTTTGCTGGGTTCGCAAGCATCAGTGTGGCATGGTACTTTATCCGTGGGAGGAAGAACTTTACCGGACCCCCTGTGCCGACAGATGTCGCACCGGGTCAGGAGGTGCCTGTTGCCGGCTTGGCAGTCCTGGAAAGCAATCAAGAACGGAATGGAGACGTTGAAGGCAAGGGCGAGAAGCTGTGAATGTTCAGAGAGGCGTTGTAAGACGGTAGAGTAAGATAGCCTATCAACTGTACATGATGCCAATGAGTTGGGATTGTTGTCTGTACGTAGTCGTCACATCACATGCAAATATCAAGTATCGGGTTTTAAAGCTGCTCAGCTTTACTGCTATTGCTAGAGAATGTAATCGCATGTACCAGAAGTTACCTTCTTTTGACCGTCAACGCAACGCTACCTGATGGGTCAATCTTCGGGGGGGGGGGGGGGGGGGGGTGCGCCACAAACCGTTCAAGCCACTAGATCAGCCGCTTGTGTGGGGAGTCGCGCGTCTTACAAACCACTCTACGCGACCAATTCCACCGTCAATCGCACCGACGCGCCCTTCGCGCCTAGCAACCATGGCTCTGAGGTGAGTATTGGAAGTAAAGGCGTTCAAGACGATACAGGACAATCGCGATGCTCTTTTTGTATCTTATCCTGACTTCCCTAGCCATAACCAACACAGAGTCATAGATCTCACCATCGAGTCGGACGAAGATGAAGAAGCGACTTTGATCCCGCTGCCCGGTGCACGACCACAGCCGAGCGCCGCTCGCGTGCTGTTTCCTCCCACTGTATCGAGACCAGCGACAACGCCTGTCACGACTGCACGAAGCCATCCAGCCATTCGTCGACCCGATATCTGGCACGATTCCTCTCAATCGACTCGAACTCTGCTAAACATATCACACACAAACAGAGTCACACATGCTGAAGGTATGGCTCTGTCGCCCAAGCCGATGGGCGCCGGCAGCGTCATACGCAGTAATGTACCCATGGCCGACGACCCTAGCCCTGCCTTTAACAGCGCCAACACCGGGGATGCCGAGTTTGATTCTTCAGGGAGGGCGACTAAGAGAATGAAATTCTCAAGGACAGAGGCTTACTCCGTTCCACACTCTCCGCGACCACGAGATGATATATCCGACACTTCTGGCGGTGTATCAACATCACCAGCCTATACATCAGGGCGAGCAGTCAGGGACGCAACTCGGCTCCAACAGTTTACGGAGCCAGTGGGAGTAACACAGCCTGAGCCTCTACCACCCAACAGCAGCCATAAGTTTCCCTCTGTCCGAGCCATCAATCAAGCTCTGAAAAGCACTAGCGCCAGAGTGCCACTCCTTGGCCAAATTTCTGCAAATACTGCACGTGCGTTTCCGATCGAACGATTACCTCAAACAACTGGGAATGTTTGCTCGACCAGCCTAGGGCCGTCTGTGTCTTCGCATGTTCACTCTGAGCGACCACAAGTCCTATCACTCCGAAATGGCACAGGACAATTCGACCATAATTCGAGAGCATCTAGGGCACAGCCAAGCCCAATATTTACGCAGAAGCAGGCCGAGATTCCTGAAAGTTCTTCAGCCCATAGCACCGGCGAATCCCCGTCATTGCAATCCCCACGCCTTTCTGGAGACGGGACTGCTGCAAGAGATTTGAACAATAGCCCAGACGCAGTAACAACGAACCCCAGTCCTCAATCTTCCTTCAAGCGAGCAAAATTCACAAACCAATTCTCGGAGGAGCAGGATCACTTTTTGATATTTCTCAAAGAAGTGAAAGCCTACACATGGAAGAGGATTACGGCTGAGTACAATGCGATATTCGGTGTACGCGCGTATCATACTCTCCAATCGCGCTACTCAACTGTGCTAAACAAGCGCGATCGATCACAGGATCCTCCCATACTTTCTCTACCTCCTCAATTTGCTTCAGAGGCGAAAGTTGACTGGGAGACTATTCGTTCAGTCAACCGTGGACCGAGAGCTTCAATTGATGCTCGAGGCCTCTACGGAGCTGCGGCGCCTACGAAATTTGCGGTTCGACAACGCCGACGTGAAAATGCACCCTCACAAGGTCTAAGTCGGCAGACAAACGATCATGACTATTCGTCAGGAGGAGACTCCGCGTGCCGCAGAGAAAGGCCCAGTCGAGCTGCGCGAGTCAACTACACGTTGCCAAGACAACATCGCAGAGGTGACGATAATTTAGATGATGCCACCGACAAGGACTTTGCTTTGCCAGACGACGGGAGCGGGGAATCTTCAGCAGCTGTTGAAAATGAAGAAGACCTATCGGGAGAGGTCGCGTGGAACGCAAGCTTGGTAAATGTGGGATTCGAGACCGCTGATGCGAGCCTCGCATTGTCCTTGACTAACGGATTGCATCAACCTCCGCTCAAGAAGTTCCCATATCTGAGTGTCACGCAATTAGCAGCTTTACAAAATGTTGCTCTGGAATCGATCCAGCATTTGTCACATAAGCAGTCTCTACAGAGTTGTGCATGGCACATTGATTTCAGTCCGAGCGAGATTGATACAGTAGAGAGAGCGATCCTGAAAGTGAACGGAGCGTGGCCGGAGTCGAGACACAGCACCAGAAGGAGACAATTGCGAGAGGTTCTGAAGGGATTTACAGAGGCAAAATTACTGCAGCTGTCACATGAGCTCTGTCGAACGCTTCGGACACGTGACGAAGACAGCATCCGAGCGTTTTTAAAAGACGCGAAGGCTGGTGGAATTACGCTCACTCCACGGATACACCGACTTGCGGCGTCACGGCCTGATGATAGGTGGATTACACGGCGGTCCATCTCCTCTGCATCAATCATTCGAGAGCGAGAATTGGGTCGGCAGTCTGCTAGGGGTTGGCGAGCAGCGTCCAAGCCCTTGACTTACCAAGTGAAAAATAAAGTGATGGATACGTTCGGGACCGCAACTTCTTGGACCGGTGCATCTGGCGACATACACGCTATAGCTTGGGCTCCGAATGGTGAGTTTTTTGCAGCCGCAGCCGTTGCAGTCGACGACCCCCATTCCATGCAGTACAACAAGAATAACAACCTTCTTTTTGGCAAATGCTCGTCGAACACCCTACACGAGCTAGGCGAACATTGTCGGGAGCGGGAGATGACGGAGCAGGGGCCCAACTCTACGCATGCCATGTTTGCGTCACAAGATCCAAGAATCTACAGCACGGTCAGTTCGCTAGGCTTCTCAAAGTCAAAGTCTGGGAACAATTTGTTGTATTCGGCAGGGTACGATGGGTCCATATGTGTCTGGCATACCGATAAGGAGGACCCACAGCCGATACTGGGAGCTAAGCTTAACGTAAAGGCACCTGTTGACATGATCGCCGTCAACCCCGTCCATGACGGGGTTGTAGCTGTGGCGGTCAAACAGGCTAGCAGCAAGGCTGTCAGACTCCTTCGGATAAACGAAGAGGACCCCAACGACTTTGAAAGACACAATCTGCACTCGCCCAAGGCGGTGGCACGTCCAGAGATGAACATACTGCCCACTGCCATTCAATTCGAGCCTCGTTTCGGCAATATGCTACTTGCAGGATTCGGCGCCAACATCCGCGACTCGGGATTCGACACGACGGGAGATCTGTGTCTCTGGGATGTGGAGACTGTTCAGCCACGGGGCGTGTACGGTCGAGCACGGAACGTGTACGGAGCCAGTCTCAACATCTTTGACGTGGAGTTCAACCCAAATCCTTCAATCATGCCTTCGTTTGCAATTGGATGCGTGGCAACAGGTAATGTCAGTCGCGGCATGAGATCCGCTATCCGACTATATGATGAGAGAGAAGACGGCAGGTATAGCTGTGCCGCAGAAATTGAATGTATGGCTCTGGATATGAACGACGTTGTGTGGTGTCCTTACGACGAGTGCCTCGTCGCCGTCGGTTGTACTGACGGGAAAAGCTACATATGGGATATCCGAAATCGGGTGGAGCCTTTGCATGTCCTGGCTCACGGTAAATCGGTGATGCCCCTACAAGAAGGGATCAGGCATGAAATTACGGACACGGGCGTCCGTTTTCTTTCATGGGGTGAGAACGCCACCAGACTCTACTCCGGCTCTTCGGATGGCGTGGTCAAAGTATGGGACGTCACACGCTCCAAGGAGGATGCGTTTATCAAGGAAATCTTCAAGGCAGACTCGGGCATCATGGCTGGTGCTTTCAGTCCAGACTATAGCAAGCTCGTCATCGGGGAAGTGAACGGATCCGTCAACGTCCTTGAAGTCGGCCGAGATGACTGTTCTCCCGAAGACGGAGCACAACTACGATATGTGCCTTACCAGTATGGCAACGACAAGGACTCTGGTGACCCGCATTTTGATACGGCTGCGGATTCTGGAATCGCCGAGGGTCGCCATTTGTTAAGCACAGGAGAGGTTCAAGTCATGCCCATGGGCAGCCTGCCCATCCGTCAAGCCGTCCAAGGACCAGCCTACCACGGACCTTACGACCAAAGCGCAGAAGCCCCTACCCTCCGCCAGCAAGCCCTGACATTTCAACAAAACTTGGCTCTTGCCCCCGGTCCCCAGTGTTCCCTCCCAGCCTGCAAACACAACATCAACAAGACCACCAACGAGGATATTGGCGACTCAGGCCGCAGCCTAGACCGTATCCCCGACTCCTTGACAAGCGCCTGGTTGTCTTCGGAGCGCGCCTGCATCGTGCCTGGGAAAACAAAATGCACGCGCTGCGGCCGTCCTGCCCGTCCTGAATGGGATAGCAAGGCGAAGCGGGATCCCACGGTCTTGTGTGAGCACTGCTGCTTTGCCTGTTTCCGTTGCGGCGCCGCCACTACAGTCGTCCACGGCGCCACGACGCTCTGCTGCGCCGTTTGCGCTGCGTCCTGGGAGTTTGGTACCTTGGGCTACGAAGTGGTGCAGCAGCCGCGGTCGGACGTTGTGCAAGCGGCGCTGGACGTTCCGCCGCTCAATGGGTTTGCGCGTGCTGCGTTTTTGGATCGGATGGAGGAGGGGGAGAGTTTTTTTGGAGACGAGATGAATGCGTTGACGGATTATTATTTTTCGCTGGCTTTGGATCGGCCGGAGAGTCCGCCGCTGTGAGGGGGGAGTATCAATGGATGGCTGGATGGCTGGATGGAAGGTTTGGGGGAGGAGGGAGGTGTTGCGAGGTTATGAGATGTGGGGAGTTGGTAGGGACTGGAGTCGAGAAGGAGGTTCTATCGTACATGTGTAAATAGTGGTACATGATCTACCTATTGTCGTATGTAACCGTAGTGATCACGGTATATTTGCAAGTTTAGTTGAGTTTGTTTGGGTTATTGGTTTTGTTGCAATGATGTATTCGGCATTCAGTATTCAGCATCCAGCATTTGCATTGCTGCAGTCAAGCTGTATAAAATCTTCCATCGTTTGCAACCTACAGCTAAAGTTGTATCTACTATCCATCATCTCATAGTATCTCCCCACCCAACCCAACTCGCATCTCAACGCTTTGGTTTCCTTCCCTCCCCCTCCTACCACATTCACACAGCGTGCACGAGGCGTCATGCATGCCCTTGTACACAGTATCTGCCTTTGCTGTAGAGGTACGACGGGGTAAGTAATGGGGGGTTAAGTTTATGCGGGCAGCATGAGCATGGATGATGGGGTTCGCCTTTATCAATGGGGTCAAGCTCGTCAATGCCATACACGCACGTGTTTCATAAGGCGGGGGGGGAACTGGTGGGATGGTGTGGGTGTGGGGTGAGGTGAGGTGTTGGATGATGGAACGAAGATACTCGGAGGTTTCGGGGTGGAAGTATAGGATGGATTGGGTGTGTTGAGGGTGTGGGTGTGTACATGTAAGAGAAAACCACACAGGGAAAGCGAATTGCTACCCCGGATATCCACATATACACATGCACATACACGGGCATAAAATAACCTCTCCGCCTGCACGCCATGATTCATGAACTTGAACAGAGGATATATCATACATGACCACACGAACCCAATCCAGTCTAATGCAATGCAATCCAATCCAATCCAATCCAACCCATATAACCTACACCCTCCTCTACAACCCCAAGCTAAACATCCCCTAGCTACAACTTCCACTCCACTCCACCCAATCCCAACACTCAACACTCAACACTCAAGACTACACAAACATACGGAAATACGGAAATATGGATATACGGACACGTACATAGACTAGAGTGAAGTACACACCATACCCACCCAAAGGACACGCCTAACAAGCTTACAAACACCACACGTCCAGGGCAGGAAGAAAGAGAAAAAAATGCAAGCAAGGAAGAAAAGAAGTACTTGATCGACTACACGCTTAGATACTGTACTATACCGTACCGTACTAAACTATACTACAAAGACAAAGCATACAGCAGAGAACTGTAGAGTTGTACACTCCCATGTACCATACAGCATGCTAACCCACAATGTCACGAGACATGTGCAAGACACGGAACCTATCATTGTAGACCGGGTGAATGCATTTCAAGTGGTTGATCTGGATTACGTGTACGACAGTTGGATTCAAATCTACAGTACATTCACATACTCGGATTGGCTGTCTTGGACACAAAAACCTGACAGCGTGATGGGGTACTACGACGAGGCCAGCCTCCCTTTTACTACAATTGTGCTCTTCCACTAGTGTGCCTGTACCCATCTCAGAACGGGGCCTCGATGGTTCCCCAGGGTACTCAGGGCAGATCTGTCAACGAGTGGATGATTGGGTACGTGGCCTTTGCGGCGTCGTCGAGGGGTGCGTTGCCGGGCCGGTCCACGACGATGGCGTAGACGTTGGCTTTGGTTGCTGCTTCGGCCTCTGCAGGAAGACGCGGTTAGCAGATGGGGGATAAGGACGGGGCGGCCATCTCAAAGGTGGGCGTGACAGTACAGAGTTTGATCGCCATGGGCCGGGTGATGGTGGAGCGAGATACTAGAGTGTGGGCGACTAGGGTGTGTGATAGGAGGAATGGGATATTGAATAGATGGTGTGATGTCTCATGCAGCACATACCTTTGACATTGTCTGTCAAGAATGTGACCTTGGACACATCTTTACCCAGCTCTGCGCAAATCTTCTCGTAGGATGCCTTTTCTAGCTTTGGCCCGGCATTGACGGTGTCATAGTGGGCGGAGAAGAGAGGCTTGATGTCTATGGTAGCATCGCCGTCTTGGACGTGAGAGAAGAACTGGAGCTGCGCCTGCACGCTGCCGGAAGAGAAGATTGCCAGTGTCTTGCCAGCAGCTTTCCAGGCGCGCAGGGTAGGGACAACGTCGTCAAAGAGTGGGGTCTTGAGATCGCCATTGTTGAAGCCCATGGTCCAAAGATGGCCTACCATGATGTTAGTCCAACGACAATGGCCAACATAGTTCTTTTGCCTTGTTCGGTGTTATGTTCGGGGATCCACGCGTTAACCTGTGT